GGATCTCCAACTAGAACACATTTAATGTTTCAATTAAGCAAAGCGTCATAAAGTATTTAGCACTTTTGTTTAAGGGTAAGCAGCATGTGATGAGGAACGAGGAGGCCCTCATCCAACGGTTTGCCAAAAACGATTAATATGAGCGACGATTGTGTAGTGTCACAGTGGCTAAGAGATCTGCTTGGCACTTCGAAGGAGTCAAGTTCGATTCCGAAAGAGAAAAGATCTTTGTCCTAATTGCATATTCACTAGAGCAAGGCATTCAGGCCTCTGTGCTTTAGGTAGCAGCCAAAAAACGGGTAGTAAGTCTTCTACTGTGTATGGATAGTATGGACAGTACAGTGTACTGGTGTTGTCATACTTGAATGGGTGAGAGGTACGACCATGTTGTCAGATCTGAGAGATTTTTGGGGCTGTATCTTTGACCCACTCGACAGCTGACTATTCAGTGTGGCAAGCAGTACCAAGTTTAGACCCAAAAAATTTAGAGTACTTAGGCAGGTTAAGACTAAATACTTGTTGTTGCTTCAAAACACTAAGTAAATGGACCACTTCATACCAAACAAAAGAGTGCGCAAAAGCTGTGACGAAATAAAATGGTAAAGGGATGAAATAGTAAAATAAATGATGAAAAATAAAATGATGAAATAAAAGCACTGTAATATTAAAAAGGCAGTGAATTAAGATACTTTAATGTATTGAATCTTCTCGCCAAAGTACTTTTCGTTTACTCCTGCTGCTACAGGAACAACTAGAAAAGGAATCAGCAAGCATCAATGGACGGTAATCTGATCAGCAGGCATTAAGCCACGTTGATGCTTTATACCAATGACGCCCGCGACGGAGTTCAGATTTTCAATCAGTGAAATCTCAGCCTCTTGACGACCGACAGCAAAAAGATTAAATTGGAACGGAAACGCTGATACACGAACCCACTGAGCGTCAGAAAGCGTTCAGCATAACAATGAATATGGTGACGGCTGCAGCTATGCCCTCTAAGAATGGCTGAACTGCTATATACAGTTACCAAACTCCCGTAATCTTGTAATGTATTTTACCCCCGAAGGATCTGTAATATCTTTTCATCAAAGATATTACCTCATATATATGTCTAACAGAAGCTGAGTACATCTGAGGTAGCTAATTCATGGGCATATCATATACTGCAGTACTATAAATTTATATAGACAGAATATCTTTAGAAAGTTACCTGGTTGCGGATTAGTGGATCCTGATAATTTTGAAGCCGATGGCGCATGCAAGAGATCTTCGCTCTTTCGCGACGGGTCAGGGTGATTTTTTGGTCTGATGATAAATGTAAGCTAAAGGGCAATAAACATTACTGATCGATGGCATATGCACTTGAAGAATTCAAAAGCCGTCATTATAGATCACCAGGTAATAAATGTTGTACCGTTTAAAGGTAGCAAAGATTTTACCTCTCGATCTCGCACGGATAAACGCCAATCCACACGAGAGTAGGCAGACGAGGATTTTCTGCTTCTTTGGAATGAGAACGCTAAAAACGCCAATAAAAGATTGAAACGGAGTAACCGAAATAAAGCATACGGAAGAACCGTGCTTGTATGTCAGGTAGATCTCTATTCCTAAAATATCGCAACCATGTACGACGTAATGCAGAAAAACGCTGAAATAACATTATACAACTGCGGAGATTTAATTCAGAATAATTTCTGAACTGATAAATTGAAAAATAATTTCTATAGGTACAAATCGCTAATTATTAATTATCATTAACTGTTTAGCTCAAAGCCCCTCTGAAACCAGGTTTCATAACGCATCGCAGAGCCTCATTACTCAGGGAGTAATTTAAGCCGGAAATGGTTAAATGGCACTGGAGCTTCTCAATGACAAACATGTTTCTGTATACGATTTCGCTACCAGAACACGGTTCGAGAATGATCGAACAGTTAGAGGTTACGCGGCGTCAACAGTTAAGACATTTCTGTAACTTTGAACAGACTCGAGCGTAAAGATTTAATTTCTGTTTTTAAAGATACATTTAAACTTGACAGAAAACGTACACAGAAAAGAATTTGAGTAGATAAGAATATAACGTTAAAAGTAACAAAATCAAGATAACCTAACAACATACGCCACTTAGGCGAAAACGAATGCGATATTTAATACCAAGTGAAAGAAAACAAAACTGTACACAGGAACGAATATCAAAGTATTTGTCATTTTCTAAGCAGAACACTTTCAAAACATGGTATACTTTACATTCTTACTTATTAGCAGATTATTAGTCGGCCAACAGACCGATCTGAACAAACTGAGGGAGTAAAGAGCACGCTTCATATAACACGATCATATGTTTCGAACGCTTCAGCATGGTCATGCCACGGCACCCAGAGGACCTTGTTATTCGCGAACTAATCATTCAGTTGAAGAAGTTATGCACCATCTATAATACTCCGGCGTACGAACATACACTGATGCCTATGCGGAAACATATAGTGTCACCTCTTGAAACATAGTCTGTAATGAGCGCTTCGCCTATTCACTCATCCATCTTCCCAGACCGCTTCTCCTTTTGGGTCGCGGAGGCAGACGCATCAGACAGTGCTTCCAACGTTCGCCATCTTGTGCCAGAATCTGAGCTTCGGAAGAAGACAGCTGGAGTCTGTAACAAAGTCCGTCGTTATAGTTGCACCAGGTTATTCTTGGCCATCCCCTAGGCGTTATGCCGGTAGAATGAGCAAGAAACAGTTCCTTATTCGTTCCTCTCTTCAGGCATTCGCAACACGTGCACAAACTATCGCAGCTAAGACTAAAGAAGCAGCGGCTATACAGGAAGGCTCCCGCGTATGTCTGTATCCAGGGCCATATCGACACGCCTAAGCTGGGTACACCAAATCGAGACACGCAAGGCGAGCGCCTCGTCTCAGAAAGCCCATTTCAGCAGCGTCTATCCAGGTTTGAGTATTCTCAGTCCCGGTCCACGACTGATGACCGCATACCAGCATGGGGGTAAATATCGAATTGAATACCGAGTGCTTAGTTTTCAGACTCTGCTCTACTTTATTCACAGTGGATCGGACTAGTTCAAGCAGAACGCCACTGGCTACTCCAATTCGCCAGTCGATGTCCTCCTCAAATTTTCCATCACTAGTAAATATGACTCCGAGGTACTTCAACTTCTCCAGCTGCTCCACTGTCTCTCCCTTAATCTGAAGAGAGCAACGGGCAAGAAAACGAGAAAACAGTAGGCTATGTCTGTGTCTACGTGCATGCCGACCACATCGCATCCGGCTGCGGACCTTTCTCGCAGCACCGTAGATCAATTTCAGAAGATCTCAATCTCGTCTCCAAAGAGCAACCTTCTCGTCTTCACATCTAATACATCGATATAATCATCGCCTTAGCAGCTCCTCACTACTCTATCCATGTACAACACAAACAGAAGAGAGCATAGGACGCAGTCTTGGCGGAGACCAATGCCAGGGATTACAATGACGCATGGTCCGTAGCAACTGGCCAGCTATTCTGTATGCTCGAAGGCATGGCCACACACTGTTGCGCAGGATCCGGTCATAAGCTTTTTCTAGATCAACAACGCACATGTACAGCGGACTGGCGAACTCCCACAATTTCTGCACAATCTGAGGCAGGGCAAATATATGGTCAGAGGTGTTTCGACCGGGCCAGAAGCCATACTGCTCTTTCCTATCTTAGACTCAGTTACTTCCAGGGATCTCCTTTCTAGAACCACTGCGTAAACTTTACCTACGAGGCCCAATAACGTAATGTTCTGATAATTGGAGCATTCCTTTCGGTCGTCCTTCTTGAACAGAGGTACTACAACTCCCAATTTTCACTCCACTGGTGTCTTAGACGTAGCCACTGCAATTTCACAGACGAAGTATAAGCCAGCATATATCATGTTTGCCTAATTCTTTGACTACAGCGGATTTCATCAATTCCAGCAGCCTTTCCATTTTTCAAGCTTTTTACACTTTGTGTAATTTCATATACAGAGATAGTAATATGCTTTCTCTGATGCTTTACAAGGAAGTTCAACAGCAGTTGCTCAGGGTTAACTTCCTCAAACTACTGTCTGCATCGCCTTGGCAAGACGGTGCACAGACTTGCGCTTCAAACCTCTTAGGCTGCACTTCCTTACACCGCGAATGGTCTACCAGAATACCTTGTTTGCCGTGTGCATACTGGACTCCAACACCTCACCAAACTTCTCCCAGGAATCAGCTTTGGCTTTTGCCACTGCTTTGGCTGCAGCCTTGTATCTTCGATATATCGCACGCGAGTAGAAGGTTCTTTGATTCAACACCGTTTCTTGAATGCTGCTTTCTTGTCTTTAACTGCCAGTTGTACCTCTCGTGTTTACCATGAAGATCGTCTCTGATATTCAGGCGGCAGGCCTACCCGTTTATATCCGCAGCATTCGGCGGCAGCCTCGAGTAGGCCTCTCTTAAACAGCTGCCACTCGGTTT